ATACGAACTTTGATGAAATTTAAAGTTACGTGAATACGAACTTTGAAGTTTTAAAGGTTGTGAATACGAACTTTGAAGTTTAAAGTTACGTGGATACGAACTTCAAGTTGTCGAATTAGGGGTGTGGAGAGACTCAAGAGGCAGGAGGTCATCTACGGTAGGATGCTACCATCTGCTACCATTTACCATTGCTACCATCTGTTATCATCGCTACCATCTTCTAAAATCTCCTGCCATCTGCTACCATCACCCATCACCTATCATTTCCTACTATCATCAGCCGTCTGCCACCATTTCTACTATTTACTATCATCTGCTACCATTTGTTATCATCTGCTACCATTTGTTATCATCTTCTACCATTTGCCATCTATCATGACCATCTCGAATCATCTACTACCATCATCTACCATCATCACAATAACACACGCTAAAATGAGATAGGTACTAGTATCAGGTTGTGGTACACTAGGGTTTACTAGAATGAGTGGTAGTAAAGTGGATGTTAACGGACACTAGAAAGCACTAGTGGTGTATCCAGAAGTACTAGGTGCGCTTTACCATACACTCGGAATGCTATAATAGATGACTGGACATTCCTCTATTTTATTTAATGAAAGCTGTAGTTAGCATAGGTGCGCTGTACTAAAAACTAGAACAGCCTTTCTAGAAACGGCTGGACATTTCTCTAGTTTATTTAGCTAGCACTAGAGCTGTACTAGAAGACGCATCTAGGCAAGGCACTAGGAGATGAAGGCACTTCGAGTAGTAGGCAAGACTAGGCTAGACTAGGCAGGGTGGGGAACGTCTCCCCCAGGCTAGGCCAGGTGGGGGAACGCCTGCCCCAGGCGCTGGGTGTTGAGGTGCTGGAAGGTCCACCGTTGGGTGTCGGTGGGGGCGCAGGCCCCCATCAGCAGCCCGCCACCCGACGCCTCCAGACACCGCCCACCCGCCGCGTCCCGCAGGTGACCTGTGACCTGCAGCGGGGGAGGGGGAAGTGACATTACTCCCCCAGACACTCAAACAACTCATGGGGTCACGCCACTCCCGCAGACACTCAGACAAGTCACGGGGTCACACGACTCCCCCAGACACTCAGACAACTCACGGGGTCACACCACTCCCCCAGACACTCAGACAACTCACGGTGTCACACCACTCCCCCAGACACTCAGACAACTCACGGGGTCTATAGACTGCCTGCTTGTCCGCCGGAAAATTTCAAAAAAAACCCTTAAGGAAATAGAGACCAGGGTGGCTGAACTGGGTGACCCAGCCCCCAGCCTGATAATTGGTGGGGACTTCAATCTCCCACGAATCCGTTGGACAAGCCCTGGCGGCTTAGAGGTCGATGACCGCGACACAAGTCAAGAAGCCCAACTTGTGAAGTTTGCTGCGGAACACTTGCTCAGTCAGCAGGTACGGTCGCCGACAAGAGAACACAATATTCTTGATCTCTTCTTTACTAATAATGAAAGAATGGTGGTTGACGTCCGGGTTGAAGATACCTCACTGTCTGACCATCGCTTAGTGATGGTGGATACGACAATTGGAATTGAAACCCTGCCCAGGTCTATACCCCAAGAGGGACTGGCAGGACTTAACTTTCACAATCGAAGAACGGATTGGGGGGCAATTT